AGGAGCTGACTGTCCAGCCTGGACCGCCCTGGTGTCCTACAGCTCCCCCACCACTGTCTGACCCCCAGCTCCTCGTGCTGGGCGCTCTGGATGAGGGCCCACCCCGACCCCCACCTCTTGCTTTGGTGAGCAGAGGGAGAAGCTCCTGGAAGCGCCTTGGGCCTCGTCTCCCAGGATGGGTCGAGCAGGGGCCCCCCCCAGGACAGAGGCCTCTTCGTGTGCCCGGACAAGCTTCGTCAGGGCGCTCCAGTGCCTGAAGGGACCCTAGCTCGTCCCCAAGGGGGCCAGACGTGCTCCCTCTGCCTCAGCCACACCTGACACCCCTGCCATCCTGTCCCCATCTCAGCCTCCCCCAGGGGCCTCCCTCCCCCTTCCCAGGTCTATGCCCTCCACCACGCCCTGCAGCACCCCCACTGCTCCCCAGCCCCACCTCCGAGCACTGCCTCCTCCCACAACTCCTCAGCAGGGCGGGAACACAGCCACGCTGGCATCTGACACCACAAAATGTAACGCAGATCCAGGAAAGGGCAAACACGGAACCAGAGAGGGGGCTGCCGCACCAGTTACACTGCAGAGACCCAGGTCCCACCACCGTGGGGCACGCCTGGATCCCAGCTTTCCCACCCAGCTCCACCGAGTCAGGCAGATACTCAGACGCAGGACACAGCCAGACCGCCCAAAGTCACCCTGTGGCGCCGTCCGCTCTGCCCAGCAGAGGGGTCTGTGAGAGAATGCGGCTTAGGGTGGCGACCCTGCGTTTGGTGCGCATTTCAGTGAGTCCTGTTTAGGAGGGGAGGGCGCAAATCCCTTCCCATGAGTAGAACAGGCTGAGCAGGAGGACAGCGGGGTTCTACGCCCCCCGGGAATCCGTCCAAGTTCCGGGCCTTCTCCACGTCCCCACCAGCATTTGCTACCCTGAGACTTGCTGCACTTTACTGTGACTGCCACCTGCCTCCCCCAGGGACCGAATGGCTGGGCACCTTCCTGTGGCCTTGTCTGTCATGAGAGTGGCACCGTTTGCTAAATGCCTCCTGGAATCTGCAGCCTTCTCCCCCCAACCGCCCCGCCCCGCCCCGCCGCTTTTCTTTCCAGTTGCTCTCTGGTTACTCCGCAGAAGACCCGCGCCCGCCACCTGCGGCTGCGAGTCTGATGGGTGGAGGTTTGGTCCAGGTGGCCTTTTGTCCTCCACGGAGCTTGTGCTACTCAGCCTTCATGCTGGGCCCACACGTGGCAGCACTCTGGGGGAAGGGGTGGCTTCCAGGGGGGAGGGATACACCCACTCCCCTCAGATCGGCATGGGTAAGTTCCAAAGACCAGGCCATTGTGCAAAAGTCAGCCCAATGTGAAAATGGACGGTCATTGCATAACCGACAAACCAGCCCAGGTGTCACATGGCCTCAGCCCCCCCCCCCCCCCACTCCCACCCCACCCCCGCGCCCCTCCCCACACCCACACACCCCTCAGCATTGTTCCTGCTGGGCCTGCGGGCACTCAGGTCAGTAGGATTTCTCCTCCTGCCCGGTGGTGAGGGGCGTCCGTGTGCTTCTGCATATGCACTAAAACAGCGCCTGCCCCTTCGCTGCACACGTACGCACGCAGCTCGTGTGCCTGTCTGCGCTGCGTCTGGCCCTGCCCCCTTTCTTCCACTCCAGACAAGTGCACTTGGCTACCCCATATGTGTCCCCATCGACACAGTTTTAGGTTGTTCTACAGCAAGGGCCGCCCCAAATACATTTGGCCTACCACCTCCTTTTCAGAAAAAGGAAATTGTTCCATGTCCCATCCCCGTAATTAAAACCTCTTGTACTATAGTGTAGGTATCTGCTTTCACAGCACCGCCCCACTGCCGTCGTCCCAGCACCCCAGGGCGATAGCACTGCTTTAGGTTGTATGCTGACCCCTCAGTCGGCTTCACTTGAGCTTCAGGAACATCTCAAGGGCAGAATGGAGTCACCAAACACACCGGTGGCAGAAGGCCTGGTGACATCTGGGCTGACATGGAGAACATCACTGATGGAGAAAGCAAAACCAGACAGAAAGGAAGGAAAGACAAACATGACGGTGGGAAGAGACCCTGCAGCTTGCTCTGGTAGCACCTCTGAGGCGCCTGAGAGAGAGGGTGCAGTCAGGGGGTGGGACAGGGGGTTCCAGAGGGCAGCTGGAGGAGTGCCATGTCACAATGAAATGCACCATGACCCAGAGTTATCAAACCAAAGCAGACCTGAAACTGAAAGCACTCAAGAAAGACTCCGGCCTGGAGTTGCACGACTGAAAGATTCTAAGGGCAAATGGTTGCACGATGCAGGAAGCAGACAGAGAAGATGGAGAGGATACATGGAGTCACTCGACCAAAAACAACAACAACGGATTGGCAAGCAACCACCTGAAGAGGCAGCACAAGATCAAGAACCCATGGTGCTGAGAGAAGAAATCCAGGCTGCACCACAGACATGAGCAAAAAGCCACAGCTCCGGGAAGTGACAAAATGCCCATGGAAGTGATTCAACCGGCTGCTGAGGTCCTGGAAGCACTCGCTGGCCTGTGCCTGGCCGGCTGCCGGAGAGAAATCCTCATCTGTGTGCATTCCAACAAACGGCGGCCGGGGACAGCATCACTGTCACATGCAAGTGAAGTTTTGATGATGGTCAATTCAAACACGGAGGCAGCAGCACGTTGACAGAGAGCTGCCAGAAGCTCAAAGCAGATTCAGAAGAGGACGTGGGAGGAGGGCTGCCACTGCTGACCCCAGATGAAGCTTGACCAAGAGCAGAGGGTGCCGGAGAGATGTCCACTTGTGTCTAAGGGACTAGGCAGGGGCATTCATTCCACTGTGTGGGTCAGAAGAGACTGGGTAACTTTGGGAAGAATGAGAATTCCGGGCCACTTCATGGTGCTTACGCTGGGACCAAGAGAGCAAGGGAGTACTCTGTAAAGAAAGGAAAGTTGCTGAACGTAAGGAAGGTTGTGTCCTGTCCCCAAACATCCTGGAAGCTGGGCGCCATGAAGCAGACCGTGGCCACAAGGCTCATGAACAACCGGTGGTATGCAGAGGGCCAACCTTCCCTGCTGAACCGAAGGAGGGCTTGACGCACCTGCTGATGAAGATCGAAGACCGCAGCCGGCGGTGTGGACCCGAAATCCTCACCACCGGCCCAACTGCTGACATCATGAAAACAAGGCTCCACAGCCCACACCGTGGGAGCAGCAGGCAGGAGACCAGACAGCGGACTGCACGGGCACAGCTGCTGCACCAGACTTCCGCAGCGTGCCCCAGAGCAGAGCGGCCACTCGGAGAACTCGGCGCACTCGCCCCACGCCATGGTGTTTGCAGCTGCCTCACACACCTGAAGCTGGGCAGCGAAGATGGAAGACTGGGGCGCGGGCACCGTGAATGGTGCTGGCAGAGCTCGGGGCCGACCGCTGGGAGAGCACACACAGCTGTCACGGAAGGAGCGCGACCAGGGTGCTCCTCAGAAGCCGGGGTCACCGGCGAGCCTTCACCTCACACACTCTGGACACGACGTTGGGGAAGCCGGGGTCAGGAAAAAGACAGCATTCTTGGAAAAGCAGACCGGCAGGGACAGAGGAAGGCCTCGATGAGGTGGACTGACGCGGGGCCGCAAGAAAGAGCTGAAACAAAGCACCGCGTTTGAGGATGGGCCAGGCCTGGGCAATGCCTCATTCTGCCGTCGTGGGACCTGAGGGCCAAAGACAAGGCCAACTCAGCAGCCCCGCACGGCTGCTCTGACTTGGTGCTGATAAAGGAAGGCGCTCCCACCCTAATCTTCCTCGAGAACATCGGGGCTAATCTTGGCCCTCTGAATTTCCACAAAACCCTTAAATCATCTCCTTTAGTTAAGTAAATAAACCAGCCCCGGTGGGACTTTAATTAAAATTGCTTTGAATCTATTTTATAACTATATACCCGATTGCTTGTTTGGTATCTTATACCCAGCAACCTGTAAGCTTCGTGTGGACTTTCACCATGGCCTGCAGGGTGCTCCTCGGCTGAGAGGAGCATCTTCACGCCCGCGCTGTGGCCCTTGACACTCTCCCTGCCCCTTGCCGGTCTGTGCTTGTCCTTTCCCCGCACAGAGAAGGACTTCCAGGAAGCGCTTGAGTGGAAATGGGAGCAGTCAGCATCTTTCCCGTTTTTTGATCTCCTGGGAAAGTTTAAGCATGCTATTTGCCTGCTACATATATTTTTGTGTATATGTTTGTTGTTATCTTATGCCTTTATCAGATTAACGACATTCCTTTAAATTCCTATGGTGCTAAACATTTTTCTTGTTTTGTTTACCATGAATGGGTTTTATCAAATGCCTTTCCTGTTTCTACTGAGATATGCATCTCCTGCATTCTGTTAAAACAGTACATCACACTTACGTTCAGCTGTCACATGAACGTTGTGTCCCTGAATCAAACACAATGCGTCATGTTTCGGAGTCTCCCAACCATATTTATCAGAGAGCTTGGCGTGTTCCTCCCTTCTAAGGTCCTGGTCAGATTTCAAGGTCAAGGGCATAAGGGCCCAATAAATGGCCTTGAGAAGTGATCCTTCTTCTCTTAGTCTCTTTCTATGGAAAGGTGATGTTGTATCTTCTTTAAGTATTTGGCAACAAACATTGATGACTGACTTGACATTTGGGGCGCAGATGTAAAGGGGCGCAGAGGTCCTCTCCCACCTCTCTGACGGCCGTATGAGGTCACTCCATCAAGCCTTTGCTATTTGTTCACATATAGATCTTAATGCTCTACCATCATATTTGTGCTCTTACAGAGTTCTTTAAGGGCCCGATGGCCCAGTCCTAGGTGCTGGGCTGCTGTCCACAGGGAAAAGAGGGGGCTGTCCACCCCAGTAAAGAGCTGCCGTCAGAAACCCACAGGGCCAATGCCACCCTGCCCCAGGGGTGGCTGAGAGTCAGAACTAGTTGGTGGCAGGGAGTGAGCAGACAGGGTCCCTGAAGGAGTCCAGCTGGTGCCAAGGGGTCAGCAGGCAGCTATGAACCAAAAAGGTGACGGCCAAAAAGGCCCGAGGCCACTTCCCCGCCAGTCAACTGGCTATCCACTGTGAGCCTCAGGTGGACACACAAGGAGGTGGCAGCCAGCACTTCAGCCATCTGCTCTGTGTGAGGGACCGGCGGTCGCGTGAGCAGGGTGGAGACCCGCTGGCTGGTCGGGGTTGTGGACAGTAGAGGCTGCATGGTCAGGAAGAATGGGGCCGTACAAGGAGGCATGACGGGTCCCAGGAGACACCAGCGTAGTTGGCATCACATAGATGCAAAGACAGTGTCCCACAGGCTGCCGGTGTGCACCGCAACTGGGGCACAAAAGGCCTGTCAGCAGCCGTCTGAGCCCCAACTCCCAGCTCTCCGGGTCCAAAGAAAAAAGAGTGGTAAGTGTCCAAGACACATGGAAACAGATTGTCCCATGGACGACTGGACCACGTGAACCTCAGTCTCCACAGCACAGCCTGAGACCAGAAGAACTGGACGGTGCCTGGCGGCCACCACCCACCACACTGAACGGGAGGTGGGGGGAGGGGGACACTCCATAGGAGAAGGTGCTGGAGAGGGTGGGAGAGAAGTGGGGGACAAAGCTCAAGATCCCACAGAGACCAGGCCTGCTGGTCAGACAGGGACCAGTGGGAGCCCTGAGACCCTGGCCCTCAGTGGCCCTTCAGGACTGTGACGCAACACATCCCGGGGGTGACATGCCCAGCTGACCCACAGCCAGGGCTGTTTGGGGGACAATGACACGGGGGAGGCCTGGGCCCCTAAAGCCATCGACCACTTGAGATCAAGAGGGCAGCACTGACCCGAGGACAGAGGTCAGAGGCTAGGAAGGGAGGGGGAGGGAACCGGGAAGCACAGCAGGAGGGGAGGCCCCGGGGATGACCATCGTGCTGAATGGAAAACCAACCTGTCTGCCAGCCGTCACCCAACTCACGGGGAAAGCTAGAACCGGAAGGACAGAGCAATCGGTTCCACCCAGAGTGCGGAACACTGACACCACGGTGATGGTTGTGGTCCCGCCAAACCAAACCCGGTACAGGCCAGTCCATTCTGACCCTGGGTGACCCTGTGCATGACAGCAGAAATGCCACCACAGTACCTGGTGGTCGGGCCACCAGGCTTCAGACTAGGTTAGTGGCTCGTGGCTGAGGGGGCCCTGCTCGGACATGCAGGTTCATGTGAGGGGAGGGGAGGGGGCCGGGGATACAGAGGAGACCGCGGATGCACGGGGAGGGCAGGTTTTCATGTTAAAAAATGTGAAGAATTGTGAAAATGACATTACCTCCAGGTCGTCCAGGGATCGCGTGATACTGAACCTCTTGGCTCTGGCACAGGCCCTCCGGGCAGGGGTCCGCTGGGAAGTGTGGGCCAGCCCAGAGCCACAGCCGGGCTTCAGACCCTAAACACAGGGGAATGACGTCAGGCCCCGCCTCTCGCTGGGAGCCAGCGCTTAACCACTGCACCACCAGGCGCATCCGTTCTTAGTGAGGCTGCTTACACACAGCAAAGGGTGAGACACGGTTTCCAATAACAGCCTGCAGAGATGGGGGTCGGGGGTCACTTCCTGAACTCAGAGGCTTTTATGGACCTTCCAGACCCTTCCTCCAGCCACCCCCCACCCCCCCACGCCCTGCAGGAGAACGCAAGTGACAGGCGCTGCAGCCTGCCTCCAGCAGGGCCCCTGCTGGCAGACGCTGGCTGGTCCCTCGTGCACTGGTCTTTGAACTTGCCCAAGCCAGCTGAGAAGAGGGAGGTGGCACACACACAGCCCACGGGGCCTGCTGGACAGACCCCCTCGGCACCACACACCAGCGGGGGCCTCGCCCGCCACCTCTGTCTTCTCAGGGCCTTGAAAGTGGCAGAGGGACTCAGGGGAGGGGAGGGTCCGACACAAACTGCCAGTGAAGGGCAGGAATGTGAGGGACAGAGCAGTCCTCAGATGTCTTTACACACCCCTGGGCCCCTACACACCCCTGGGTCCCAGCCCCCTCACTCAGACCCCAGGCCCCAACTCATACTATCCGACCCACACAGCCCCCAACCCTGGACCCCCACCCCCATTAACATGCCCCAGCTGCTGTATCCTGGCCCCCTCACCCAGGCCTGGCCCAGCCCCTGCTCCCATGTACTGCCCCCCTAGCCCAGCACCAGCCCCCTTGCCTAGGCCCCACATCACAGCCCCTGTACCCCAGCAATACCCACTAGCACACACACCCCAGCCCCTGAGGCCCCAGCCCCACACCTGATGGCCTAACATCCCAGGCCCTACAACCCCTTACATCCTGGGCCCCACACCCCAGCCCCTGGCCTGGCACACATGCTCAATCCCCAAGTCCCCCAGCCCCACAGTCTATACCCAAGTCTCAACACCTGGGACCTAACGCCCCAGGCCCCACAAACCCACATCCTGAGCCCCACACCCAGTGCCCTGCTCCAGTCCCCCTGGGCCAGCAGAGCAGAGGGGGGGCTTTCTTTTCCCAGCCCCAACAACGCGGCCCCACCCAGCATTGTTTCCTCCATCCCACCCCACCCCATCCCCAGACAAAGGCCCTCAGTGAGCATGGCCAAGCCCAGGGCCCCAGGGCAGCTGCCACCCACCCACCCCTCCAAGGGTGGCCACCGGCTGAGGCTGGTGGGCTCTGCTGAGTGAGGAGCCAGTGCTTCTGAGAGGAGGGGGCTTTTGCTACAGGATGGGGCCAGGGCACAGCGAGGGACAGCCCCGTCCTATGGGGACCAACCACACAGCCACCAACAGGGCCTCAGATGGGCACCAGCAGGCCCCAGAGATGGGAACAACCGGGTGGCAGGCACTGCAAACGAGGTACCCACACTTCACAGGGACAATGCGCCACTCAAACGTCATCACTGTGGAGGCGGGGCGAAGCAGGCATGGGGCAGGGCAGGGCTGGGGAGGGCCCGTTGCCAAACACCACACCAATCTGTCCACCCGCGCAGCAGCAGCAGCAGCAGCGACCAGGGATCTTCCCCTAGGGCCATGCCGTACCCCGTCTCTGAAAGGGGCTCCTAAGGGGAACCGGACCAGCTTTGCAGTGGGCCAGCCCTCCCACACCGCCCCCACCTGCAGCCCTGCGGCGACATGGGCGGAGGGGTGGCCAGGGCTGTGGGCCAGCTCTCGCCTTCTGGCAGGTCCGCTCTGACCGAGCTCACCTTGGCGTCGTCCCTCGTCTTCCTGCCATGGCGGTGGGGGCCAAAGATGTGGGCCACGCCCAAGGCCTTCCGCGGCCACTCGCTCTTGGGCGGGAGGCTGCCCTCCACGCGGTAGCGGTCGGCAGGGATCTTGCTCATGGGCGGGGGCAGCGTGCCGCAGTTGACGCTGGACCAGCCGTCGGTGGAGTCGGTATAGGACTCCTGGTCGCTGGCGTGGCCGCACTGCCAGCCCTGCAGGACGTGCGCCGGGAACCAGCGCTGGGGGGC